ATGGGGTTTCACCATGTTGACCAGGATGGTCTCGATCTCTTGACCTCGTGATCCACCTGCCTCGGCCTCCCAAAGTGCTGGGATTACAGGCTTGAGCCACCGCGCCCGGCCAAGAACTTGATTTTCTAAAGGGACGGTTGAATTTGAGTAACTTGGCTAGAGGGCTACTCCCAAAGGACACGAGGCTAAACATTAATCCCTGAGTCAGATCAGGGATATCTAAATCCTATTTGAGGTGTTTGCCTCAGGGCTTATGCACTTGAAAGCGTGCTGTACTGAAGCCAGTGAACTGATCACGCTGATTTTATTCTGATGTTCAACTGTGATCTTTAAGTTATAAATCCCTGGCTGATGCATGGCATATCTCGTAAGACTGAAATAACTCCAAGTATTTTGGGCTTAAAGAACAAGTATATTAAAATTCTATCTCTACATACTACTATTATTTGTTTATTTTTCTAAAGAAGAAATAGATAATACTTTGGAGGCTTTGAAAAGTACTTTATAGTGACTTGTGGCGTCTCTGTGATTTTCTTGCCCTTTGAGCTCAGGTACCCTTGTGCATTGACTCTTCCAATTTTGCTGTGATTGAAGCTGGGTTAAAGTGCTGCCAAGGGAAGTGCATTGTCAACAGTATTAGTCTGAAGGAAGGAGAGGAGGACTTCTTGGAAAAGGCCAGGAAGATTAAAAAGTTTGGAGCTGCTGTAGTGGTCATGGCTTTTGATGAAGAAGGACAGGTGAGTGATTTCTTTTGGCCTAATCCATTGTGTTACCCAGGTTAGATAGCAGTGGGAGAAAATGCGAGTCTGAAACAGCTACATATATACATACATATATATCTATTTCTGTGTACATTCATGTACATATGCGTACATGTATCTGTATGCACTCATACATCATGTGTTACTTAACAGTGGAGATACGGTCTGAGAAATACATCATTAGGTGATTTTGTCATTGTGCCAACATCACAGAGTGTATTTACACCAACCTAGGTGGGATAACCTACACACGTAGGCTGGATGGCGTAGTGTATTGTTTCTGTGTTATAAACTGGTATAGCATGTTACTATACTCAGTACTGTAGGCAGCTGTAACACAGTGATACGTATTTGTGTATCTAAACATATGGAAACAGAAAGTTTACAGTAAAAATATGGTATTATAACCTTATCGAACCATTGCTGTGTATGTGATCCATCACTGCCTTAAGTGTCCTTATGTGGTCAATGACTGTGTATGAAAATCTGATGTATAGTAAAGTCTTTGAGTTCATGGAGAAAGGTTGAATTATTCAGTAAATGCTATTGGGATGACTGGGTATGCATTTGGAAAAAATAAAAATTAGATTCCCATTTCCAACCGTGTACTAAAATACAGTTAGCTGTTTGCAACATGAATAATAGCAGTAGGTGACTATCCCTAATATGCAAAGAGTTTATGTGAGTCAGAAAGCAAAACACCTCAGTCAACCCAGTGGGAAAATGGACAAAGGAAATGAATAAACAGTTTATATAAAAAGAGATAACAAATAGCCAATACACTTATGAGAAGATATTAAGTTTTGTAAGCATTAAAGAAATAAAAAATAAATAATGAGATTAGTTTTCTTTATCAAATAGAAGAAAAAATCAGAAGATTGATAAATGGCAGCTTTCATAATATCTCTGCCATAGAATCAGGGTGAGGCACATGGGAAACTTCAAATACAATGGTAGTTCAACTGTGTGATACATTCATTATTGTTATCTTTTATACTTCACATAACTTTTTATGAATATTTTGGTACCTATTTAAAACAACAAAAAAATCTATTTCTTATGCTTAAGCCCCTCCTGGGAATCTAGTAATAAGATTGAGTATATAAGGATATGTGTTCACATTAATTGTAGCATTGTGCTAGCACAAAGCTGAGAACACACTTTTTTCTTTTTTTTTTTTTTTTTTGTGTAGTCTCCAAGTTCCCTTAACATTCTTTTTATTTTTTCCTTTTTTTCGTTTTTGAGACAGTTTCGCGCTTGTTGTCCAGGCTGGAGTGCAGTGGTGTGATCTTGGCTCACTGCAACTTCTGCCTTCTGGGTTCAAATGATTCTCCTGCCTCAGCCTCCTGAGTAGTTGGGACTACAGACGTGCGCCACCACACCTGGCTAATTTTTTGTCTTTTTAGTAGAGACTGGGCTTCACCACGTTGGTTAGGCTGGTCTCAAACTCCTGACCTCAGATGATCCACCTGCCTTGGCCTCCCAAAGTGCTGGGATTACAGGCATGAGCCATCACGCCCGGCCTTGAGAACACTCTAAATGTCCAATCCTAAGGGAGTGCTTAAACCTTGGTCCTTACTGCATAGAATACTGTGCAGAAGTTGAAAAGAATCAGGAGATAGAACCATGTCTTCAGTATATTGAAAAATGAAAAAAATGAGTGACATGATCCCAATTTTACTTAATATAAAAGTACTTACATTTATATATGTGTGTCTGTATAAGCAGAGAAAAGAATGGTTGTCAACTGAGGGGGTAGGGATGGTCTCAAATAGGGACATACTGACAATTAACAAGTAGTAGGATTATACGTACTTTTTCTTCCCTTTCTTTCTTTTCTATTTTTGAAATAAAAAATTTTAAATGTATTATTTTTTGTGTGAAAGATACATTTTCTTTCATTGTGAAAAAATTCAAATAATCCAGAATGCAAAAGAGAGATAATTTTGATCATTAACATATATTGAACCTTAATTCACACCAAGCAAGTACACAACACACTTAAATCAGTTCTTCCTCCCAGTGTATAAACTGTGGGCATGTGTTCTTGTTATTTTTGGATGTCATGTGAGGACGCTGAAGCACAGAGATGTTCCAGGACTTGCGGTTGCCACACAGCTAACAGTTTGCAGTGCTGGGAGTCAGGCCTAGGAGATCTGGTTTCTGTCATCAGGGCCTGTTTTAAATGGTCGAGTGAAAGGCTGTCAGGGAAAAGTTGGCCTGTTTAGAAGAGGTGGTCTCATAAGACCCCTCCGAGGAGGGAATATTTGAAAACCAGAGTGAAATGAGAGAGTAAGCTACATGGCCACGTGGAGAAAGAACAAAAAAGCTTTTAACAAATGGAAAGTTTTGTATCAACAAGATTATACCTGCCATTCTGCAACTCATTTCCCCCACTCAACGTCATGTTGGCATTTTCCCATTTTAGTGAATAGGGATTAAAACTCCATCTTTTATGGTTACATTGCATCTCAGTATGTTTTAATTACTATCTATTATTGAATGAAATTGTGTTTCTAATTTTTTAGTAGTATGAACAATTCAGTGACCAATTCATGCAGCTATTTCCCCTTGTAGAATGATTTTTCTTAGAGTCAATTCATTGAAGTGGGATTGCTGTGTCAAAGAGTGTGCACATTTACTATTTTGAGGCACATTGTTAAAACTATGCATCTGAAAAGTTGTATCTAGTTATCTTCCACTACATGTTTAGTGTGGTGGAACCTTTTGGTAATTCTGCAGATAGACAAATAGTTCTGTAAGGCTTCTTGTGAAAAACAAAAGTCCTCAGCCTTCTAGATCCTGAGGCAGCCACTTTCAGCTTTCTAAACTGATTCTTGTAGCATCTACCTCTTCATCTTGAAATTCCAGTTTTAGTTTTTATTTATTGACATCCTACAGTGATAAAAGATTTTTTAGCTTTTCACCATCCACTGCCCTGACTCTGTACAGCTTTACTTTTAACCTTCCCGATACAGTTCATTTGAGCTATAATTGTTTTCAGTGGTTACATTATTAAACAGTGTAAAAGCTGAGACATGCAATAGTATACTATGATTGCTTATCCTTTCTCACTATTTGTTTTCTACAAAGGTAACGCTTATCTTTCTGTTTGCTTCGTTTTCTATGTATTTTGCCTTTAGATTGTCCCCTAGTTGTATAAAACCTCCAATATCCCGTGTAGCCAAACTCATTAAGAGGACTGCCATTTTACTTTTTTGGAGAATTCTCCCTCCAGGTCTTCTGATGTGACCGGGAATGGCTGCTCAGTAGGCCAGCTGCACAACTGTCACTGCTAGCTGTCCCTTACCTTCCTCCTGGGGTTCCATTTTCCTTTCTCTTAGGTTTTTAGAACTCATAATTTCCTCATTCTTGGTTCCTCCCTTTTTTGGTCATTTGGTAGAGTGCATCCTCTGGTAGCTTCTTGTGAAAGAAAACATGGAAGTAAATATTTTTGAAACCTTACATGTCAGAACTTAATTGGCAGTTGTATGGGCATAGGAGTACAAACTTGAAGCTGTTCTGTGTTTTGAAAGTACTGCTCCATTGTCTTCTGGTTCCCACTGGTATTGGTAAGAAGTCCAGTGCTATTCTAACTCTTGATTATTTTTGTGAAACTTGTTTTCTGTTCTCTGGAGGCTTTGGTAATCTTTTGTCTCCACAGTGTTGGGAACTCTCAAGATGATGAGCCATCCATGATGCTGGCACCCAGTAGGCCTTTCCGTTGTGAAACTCACAGCTGCAGTGGTAGAAGTATCCCTGAATTACTTTGTTTTCTCTTTTGGTACTTACATGGTGGAGATGTTGGATGTGTTGGATAGGTTGCCTAATTTTCTTATATTTCCCTCCTATTTTCCAGCTCTGGTGTTTTGCTCTGCATTTGGTGAGATTTTCATATCTACATTTATCCTCCAAACCCTCTATTGAGTTCTTCTTTTTCCAGAAGCTCTTTTTTTGTTATCTGAATGTTCGTTTTAAAAATATATGTAGCAACTCGTTACTTTTTAATGAGGCAAATATCTTCAAATATATCCTGAGCACTTAGTACGTGCCAGGCCCTATTCTAATCTCTGAGGTGATAGCAGAGAATAAAACCTAGTCCCTGTTCTTGTACAATTTATATTCTTAGGGACAAAGGGAATAACAAATTAAAAAAAAAAAAAATATATATATATATATATATATATATATATATATATATATATATATATGTATGTAGATGTATATATGAATAATTGACCGGGTGCGCTGGCTCACGCCTGTAATCCCAGCACTTTGGGAGGCTGAGGTGTGTGGAATACCTGAGGTCAGGAGTTCGAGACTAGTCTGGCCAACATGGTGAAACCCCATCTCTACTAAAAATACAAAAATTAGCCAGGTGTGGTGACACACGCCGGTAATCCTAGGTACTCGGGAGGCTGAGGCATGAGAATCACTTGAACCCAGGGAACTGAGGTTGCAGTGAGGCGAGATCATGCCATTGCACTCTAGCCTAGGTGACACAGTGAGACTTTGTCTCAAAAAAAAAAAAAAAAATAGAGTAAACAAGTATGTGTGTACGTTGAATGGTGCTGAATACGGTGAAGGGAAATGAAGAGGACAAAGGGGATGGGGAATGAACCCCCCCTGTGTGTAGGTGGGTGAGTGTTATTTTATGTAGGAGAGTTTGGGAAGGCCTCGTGGATGATGTGACGTTTTAGCAGAAACCTAGGTGAGCGAGCTATGTGAAAATGTGGAACATGTAGGGGAAGAGTGTTCTGGGCAGAGGGAGTCTTGAGGTAGATACATACTTGTCATGTTTGAAAACCAACAGGGAAGCCAGAGTAGCTGGAGGAGAGGGGAGGGAGGAGATTGGGAAAACACGCAAGGTTAGAAAGGTAGCAGGTCACATCACATAGGGTCTTGTAGGCCATCCTTAACACTTCTGGTTAACGTTGTTACTCTGAGTGAGCGGGTGCACCACTGAAAAGTTTTGA